TAAATCAAAAAATTTTAACAATTTAGACTGTATGAAAGCTACATTGGTGTGATCCCTATACCCCATCTTATGCACAATTCTTATCGCTCTTATTTGTAATATATACAATGGTTGAAGTGAGCTTTTGTATGTATTTCCCCAGTTTTCAACGCCATACTCTAAGCATGGTAAAATCAATGAAGAATACAAAATACGTAGTGCTTTCCCATCCAAAATATATCTAACCCTTGCCAATATCGATATATTTTTTGCTATTTTGTGCTGAATATATCTGATATGAGATTTCCAGTTTCAAAGTTGAAACAATAAATCTGTAATATGTAACAGGTATAGTGCCGGGCTGGTTGTAATTCAACTTAGGGTGTCACTTAATAAATATGCATCAAGTGTTTTGTTTTTTTTGTCAGATATGGTATGTTGCAATAATAAGCAACTGGAGATGAGAGTGAAAACTGAAAACTCTCTTATCTCTCATGATAAATAACTATCACCTCTCTTTCCAGGAACTTCAACTCAGACTACCTGTCATGTGACTGTGGGTTGCGTTGGGTCCCAGACTTCTTTCGCAGCAGTTCAGTTCGGCTAGGGGATGAAACCCTATGTGCCTACCCCAAGAGCCTGAGGGGAAAGCCCCTGCGTGGACTACGGGAAAGCCAGCTGAGCTGTGGTGAGAGAGTGAGGCATACAAATGAAGCAGTTTGCCACTTTGGTTCAGAAAACGCTTTCTTTGTGAATAACAATAATAGGGCACTCATAACAGTGCTGAGGTTTGTCCAGGTACTTTTAAGCATTACTACACCAAAAGGCTTGACAGAAATCTGTCCCAGCAGTTCATCAGGAACATATTTCTAAAACGATCGGTGAACTGTTCTAATAACTAATCCTATGGGCTACATTTACGAGTTTGCTGCTGTCTCCATCCAATCTGCTCTAGAAAAGCAGCCACATAACAGCTTCTGTGGAAACATTTAGCTGAGGTTGAGTAACGAGAGAGCAGCAGATATAATTCAGAGTGATGTGTGGCAATCCCCTCTACATCTTTTCTCACCATGTTGCTCAGATGGCCCTCTGGAGCTGCACACCCTGTCGCTGTTGCCATCCCAGCGTCAGGTGGTCTTCAAAGGCGATCGGCTGCCCTTCCACTGCACTGCTGCATTGGTGGACAAGATCACCACCTTGCACTGGCGTCACAATGGTCAGCTGGTGACCTCTGACCCCGAGATGGGTGTCCAGCTGGAAAACAGTGTGCTGCATGACTGCTCCTTCATCACCAGGTACATGTACTCTCAGTGTGTAGTGTTGCCCCAATGTGCTCTAATGATGCTGCCTTTCAGTTACTACTCAAATGTCTATAATTTTTGTGTTTTACCAGTTCAGACACACATTGGATTATGTGGTAATAGTGTGTAATTATGAGCTGCCTGTATCATCTTTATCTCCAGTGAGCTTATTCTATTCGACGTACATGTGGAGGCCAGTGGAGAGTGGGAGTGTGTGGTTTCTACTGGGCGGGGCAACACGTCTCGCACTGTGGAAATAGTAGTGCTGGAGAACAGTGCCTCCTTCTGTCCAGAGGATAAAGTTATCAACAATCGTGGGGAATTCAGGTCAGCGAGAGTAACAGTATTTAAAGTTTCATACCCAAAGATTTGCTGTACTCATTATGTGTAGTAATCTCTAGGTGGCCGAGAACCCTGGCAGGCATCACCTCCCATCAGTACTGCCTGCAGCTGCGTTACCCTTCTCTGTCTGTGGAGGGGGGTGTGGAGCAGAAGAAAGCCTCACGTCACTGTGACCGTTCTGGAAAGTGGCAGGAAGGCGACTACTCTAACTGTCACTACACAAATGGAATCACCCGTGTTCTACATACCTTCATCCTGGTCAGTACTGCTGTCAGTGCAAGGTTTACCACAGTGCATGGTCCTTGTTTAGTAAAGACTATGTAGATTCATTTTCATGACATCACACCTTTATGTCCTCACTGGTTTTGCTCTTGTATTGCAGAGGCCCATCAATGCGTCCAATGCCGTCACTGTTGCACATCAGGTGCGCACATACACCCTGGAGGCCGCAGGCTTTACTGACTCAGTGGATGTGCTGTATGTGGCACAAATGATGGAGAAGTTTATGGAATATGTCAGACAGCTGCAAGAGGTGGGAAACATTTAACTGTATATAAAATGGCTATATACAAGTAGAGAATGTGTGTGCAGCGTTTTCTTCTGATATTACTATCCAGTTAGTGTAAGTTTCTATATGTTTGCTTATTCCAGTTGTCAGAGGTGCTGGTCGAGATGGGCAGTAACCTGATGCAGGTGGACGACCAGATCCTTGCTCTTGCCCAAAGAGAGAAGAGAGCCTGCAGCTCCATTGTTTACTCTCTAGAGACTCTGGCCTGGCCTCAGCTACACCGTCATGCTCAGGACTTCTCCATGGCATGGACTTTGAATTATTAACTATTAAAATGTTGTGTTTTTGGGTGGAACACAGCACATAGAGCTTCTAGAGAATCACACTGAATATGTTTATAGATTTTACAGTTCATTGTCACAACAAGAAATGCATGTAGTGTGATTAATGAAATTTATATTAGAATTATTATAAATATATATAAATGTGTAAATGTGCATATTCTTTGTTATAGAATCACAATACTTGTTTATGTAGTACAACAAACAGTGAGACGTCCCTAAAATATAAAAGCAAAATGTAAAACATATATTTTGTTTTATATTTTGAAAATCATATCTGCATGACTGAAATTAACAAATGCGAAATATATGGAAAATAATCCATACCATTTATATTTGATTTTGATATGAACAGGTTTCTAGGAACATTGTAATGGAGGCCCACTTAATTCTACCAGCTCACTTCACTGGCATAACCTGCACTGCGTATCAGCGTCGTGAGGTCTCTGTGGGTGGCCTGGGAATGGAAATGGCAGAGTCTGCCCACGAACAGCTTCGTTTCCGCTGTAGCACTGGCTCCCATAACACTTCCCTCAACAATTTTCTCCTAAAGGTGAGGCATGAACACCCCTTCTTGCATCCCCTTGTTACTTCCGTTACCACATGCTGTGCCATTAGTAACCTATTGTATCTGTGTTATCAAGCTTTAATGGTGGATTTAAACATTTACATGTGTTTCATGTTTTATTTCCTCTAGAATTCTGTAGCCCTGGCCTCTGTGATGCTCCCAGCTACTCTGTTTCCTCCTGATGCTCCTGCAGACTGTAAGTTACAGTTTGTAGCCTTCCGAACCGGCAGCTTTTTTCCTGTTTCTTCAAACTCAAGCAGCACTGGGGAGCACTTCCGCAGGCGTAGTGTCAACACTCCTGTCATCTTTGTAGGTCTGGGTAAGGAAATGTCTTAGACAGTTTAGTGAAATCCACTTGTGTCTTCCTAAAGTGCTTCCTAAAACTACATTGCTGAGCCCTTTGTAATTTCTAGTTCTCATAGAAATATGTAAGATATGACTTCTTAATAAAGTATTTTCAGTGCTGCTACAGTACACTGTAGTGTAATTCTTAAATTCTGGCTCTGGTCACTGGGTGAAGGACAGTAATTATTTTCAACTGAATGCATGTTAAACAGCTTAGTCATCAGAACAGTTTTGTAATTTCATGCCCTTCTGTGACAGACGGTTGCAGCATGTGGAACCAGTCAGATCCAGTCTGGGTGTCACTGCGTCACTTGTCCCCCGGTACCGATGCTGTGGCGGCACAGTGGAGTCTGAAGGGACCAGAGAAGCAGGGAGGCTGGAGCCAGGAGGGCTGCCAGCTGATCCACAGTGACAGCAGCACCTCCACAATGCGCTGCTCTCTGCTGAGCAACTATGCTGTGCTGCAGGTGAGTATTTAATTCATGATTTCTCATGGATCACTTAGGTTCAGAGAGACTTTCATTTGACTTGTTTGTGATTTTTTTTTCTAGGAAGTGCCTGACTTCCCCAGTTCTGCATCCAACTCTGTAAGAGTGCTCCACCCTGTGGTCTATGCCTGCACTGCAGTGCTCCTCCTCTGCCTCTTCACCATCATTATTACACACATACTCCACCACAGGTACTGTAGTGTATCAAGAGACAGGAATCTTTATTGTCAGTATGCATAGCACAATGGAATTTCTTCCAGCATTAACAGACTTCTTGCTGGTCTGTGTTATTCGTTTCATGTCCTCATTGTTTTATTCTGTATCCCTATAGCTCTATTCACATTTCAAGAAAAAGCTGGCATACATTACTGAATACATGCTTCCACATCGCCATGACAACAGCCATCTATGCAGGAGGCATAAGCTTGACCACCTACCCGGTGGTTTGTCAAGCAGTAAGTCCTGAATTTAAACAGAGGTCTCATTTTGATTAGTTGCCTTGAAGTTTAATGTCTGATTTGACCTTAATACATGACAGGTAGGCATTGCCCTGCACTACTCCTCACTGTCGACCTTGCTGTGGATTGGAGTCAGTGCCAGGGTTATCTACAAAGAGGCTGTGTGGAGAATGCCAAGGCAGCCTGAGGGAGAGTCTCCTGCTCCACCTACTCAGCGACCTATGCTCAGGTCAGTGAGCAAGCCACAAGTCACCTTCACCCACATCTTGTAGCAAAAAAGTTTCTATTGCTGTCAGTACATTTTCTGACAGATACGGGAGTTCTTGTCCATGGCCACCCAAACTGTGCGCCATCAAAGGTGGTCATTGTGTCCAACAACCAATATCCCTCTGTTAAAAAAAATGGAGGGACATAACAGAGCATTGCTGTAAGACAGAGAAAAGCCATAAGTCTAGATGAACTCAGGGCATAGGAGGGGAAGAATGTATGAAGCCAGCATAAGAAAAGCAGAGCGGGTTGTCATAAATCTGAGCAGGGTTATTAAGGGGCTGCACCATCTTGTAAAACAGTCCCTTCTATTGCGCCTCCTGGTTTCCTCCCCCTGCCCCTGTGATCCTAAAGCTGTAATCACACGCTGTACCCCTGACCTCACTGGCCCTCCAGACACCCCTTTGTTGCCCACATGGGATCGGGCTACAATAAATCACACATCTGGAGCTTATTCTCAGCCTTGTAACACTCTGCCCACTAAGAGAGTGAAGGATCACACAGCACTATTCAAATTATAGACAGCCAGAGAGAAATAAAAACACAAAATATGCATACTTCAAAAAGATGGTAGCAGTAAAAAGTCATACAGCATCCTGTGGCACAAACAAGAACTGGTCTTTATTTCTAAAACAGCAGTTGAGAACTTGATGTGTTTTTCCTCTGTTATTCAAGGTTCTATTTGATAGCTGGTGGAGTTCCTCTTATCATTTGTGGGATTACTGCAGCTGTCAATGTCAACAACTATGGAGACAGCCTTTAGTGAGTACTTCTCTCTTTCTCCTTGAGCCATTTGGCCCTTAACATTGTGTTGTTTTGTTTGGTACTGAAGTGAATAATTCTGTGTGATATATTGAGTACAAAACGATGTCTTTGTTTTGTGCTGACCTTCCTGACATATTCTCTCCCTTTTGCAGCTGCTGGCTAGTTTGTCGCCCCAGTCTGGGGTCTTTCTTTGTCCCTGCTGGCCTAGTGGTGTTGGTGACCTGGATTTATTTCCTGTGCACTGTGTTTCGCCTGAGGCACCACGTGGCCAAAAAATGCACAGGAACCACCCTGTCCTCTCCTGTGACTGAGAGCCAGCCTGCATTGGCAGGAAGCACCAGCCTGCTCTCAACAGACTCAGTGGTGGGACCTATTTTAAACCCTGTTTTGGCTCCAGAGGACCAGTACTCGCTGAAGACACAGTTCTTGGTTTTGGTGGCCACCCACTTCCTGTTTGTGGTTCTGTGGTGTTGTGGAGCCATGGCAGTGTGGCTGACAGGGCACAACAGCTTGTTGTTCAGCTGTCTCTATGGAATGGCTGCCACAGTTTTGGGGGTGTTTCTGGTGGTGCACCACTGCTTCCGACGTCTGGATGTCCAGGCATCATGGCTGGCATGTTGCCCAGGTTATCACCATGCGCATCCCATATCTACCTACACACACACCTGCACTACTGGAAGTGGAGTGCAAACCTCTGAGCAGGGATCACAACTTTTGATCAATTGCCATCCACCAGGTGACTCTCATAATTCTTCATTAGCTCGGTCATCATCCACGCCAAGTGGAATCAGCAGTGTGGGCCCCGGGCCCTGCAAGCTCACCAACCTGCTGCAGGTGGCACAAGATAGTCCAAAAAATAGTTCACGTGCCCCTTTGGGCAACAACACTAGCACCAGTACTGACAATATTACCAAGCCAGCAAACAATATTCTGCCTAACATTAACTCTGCAGCCCCATTGCATCCTCAGAGAAGGAAAGTGAGTAGCAGAACTAAACAAGGGAGCAGCCAGTATCATCATCACGGTGAGGGCAGAGGTCACTATCGTCTCAAAGCTCTGCGGACTGCTGGAGGTGGAGGCAGCCTTGGAGCCTTAGGGCCCTCAGGTTTAGAGCACCTCAGTTCTTCACATGCAGGTTACAAACAGGCCACGAGTGAAAATGGCAGCATCCACCACAGCCTCTCAGAGAACCAGGCAAGCCCACTGACAAATGGGAAGCGTGTGGGGGAGTCGGTGGCCACCAGCCCCTCAGAGGGAAGTGATGGAGGCAGCAGCGGGAGCCGCAAACCCTTCCCCTTGCTGCCCTCTGCAGGGCAGCAATGCACAGGCCTCAGAGACGATGCGCCAGCAGAGACAATCTGAAATTGGCAGCTGCCGCAGAGAGAGAAACTAAGCGCTGCTCTTACCCTTTGAACAGTCTCACCACCACTGTGCCAGGGGCTGCCCCAAATGGCACCCTGAAACATTCAGTCATAGAACTGGAGCAAGACATGAGTGGCACAGACCAATCCCACAGCTCCACTGGAATGAAGAGTGGTTTGTGGAAAAGTGAAACCACAGTGTAATCTTTACTTATATGTGAACGTTTATGCATGACCTTAATGAACTCTTAAATGACAGGGTTATGTTTTAATGGTCTCTTGATTATAATAATTTTATAATTTAAGATATAAATAATTCATGAAGGCATCCAGGACCCTAAACTGGTACTTTTGCCTCAGTAGCATTGTAAGAGTTTGCTGTGAAATGGTTAAAAATAGTAAGGCTGGGTTATTTTTATTGTCATTTTCAAATATAAGATACTCATTTATTTTATTCATTTCACAAAAGTTGTACAAGATATCTCAGAAATTGGCATATGATGTTGATTTTTGATGTTTAATGAAAGCTTTATTGTTTTAGTTGTGATTTTCTATGCATATCAACTATAGCATGGAATGGAATGCAAGCCGGTCCATGTCCAAAGTACAGCTATATGCATTTAATCTGTGGACAACATTTCACGCTTATGTTTGCTTGAAATAATTGTTTGCGTGCACTCATGTATGCACTTGTATGTTTTGTGTGTGTGCGTGTGAATGTGCATATGTGTGTGGATGTGTGTATGCTCATGTAAAAGAGTAATTGCATGAGTGTGGCTGTACAGAATCAGAGTGATTTAAAAAAAAAAAAAGCTATGCGAGACTTTTGAATATATGATAAAAATGTTTCATTTTTATTTCTATGTACTCTCATCAGCACTGACAGAGCTCCATTTATCTAATAAATTCAGAAAGAAATGCAATAAAATTCGGGGGAAATGACTGGCATTCTCATGCTCATATAACTTGACTGAATTTTCACCTGAAAGACTTTTTCTGCTGTGATGCATGAATGACTGCCACCTCCTGGATGGCTGAGAAATTATTCAGTCATTGTCAGGTATTACAAATGTGTCAGCCTGGAAAATCTCACAGGTTTTGCAGTAACTTATTATGCTAGTATTAAAAATTTTGGACGAGTATGCAGTGGGCTGACCAAAAATATCATTTAATTCACATTATAAGTTTTTTATATATATAAATTCAAAAAAACTACCTTCATGTTGCAAAGGCCTAAGCAGTACTATTGTTCGTTAAGCAATGTGATGCAATTTCAGCTCAGGAAACTGCATTAACAGGAAATAGAGTTTCTACTATGTAGCTCATTTTAACTACTTTTCCCCATTGTTCTTTGAGAGGAAGTGTCACATACCGTACTGCATGTTGTTACAGGTCTGTTGTGCACATTATTGTGTATTCATTGTGCACTATGAATGTTTTGATCAGCCCCGAACAAGATATATTCAGGATATAAACCATAGCAATTCCTCTATTCAGTGTGACCATGACTTATATTTAACCTCTCAAAACAAATATAAACATGATTTGTTCATGATTTTGTATGGATTTCCCTGTCCTCATGTTGCAGCTCTCCATGCATCTGTAGGTTTTCTCATCTGGGCACACATTTTTTTTTACTGTTTGTTTTTCATGGCCACAGCTGAGTTACCTCTCAGTCCTGCGTTTACTGTTGTCCTTTATACGTTTTTTATGACTTTTGTGAGAGTATCCTGATCAGAGTCCAGTGCTAGTTAACGGTCCGCCATGTCTCGACGTAGTCCTCCACTGTCCAATCACTGGCTGAATTCAAAAACTGACAAAATATTTAGCCAATCAGACAGCATTATGTAGCGTATGGGTGGGGATCCATAACATCAGGGAAGTGAACTGTCGAACTTAGAGAAGGCAAAGAAATGAAATGAAAGCCTTCAGAAGGAAGTAGTCGCACCGCAGCGATGTCCTGATTGGGTTTCATGGGCTGCTACTAGCAAGAAGTTGGTTAACCGAGTGTTTACTGAGCACTTTTACTACTAGAGCCTTAGATATTGCGTTACGAAGAGGAGGGAGCGGTAAGGCGACCTGGGCTTCCTGAACTGAAAACAAGCTAACGCTAGGTAACCTAAACCTGTGGCCGCAGAGGTCGACGGACGTGACACAGTTCTGGAAAAGGTTCAGCAAAAGTCCGGCGTTGTGAGCTTTTTTTTTTTAAACTGGACAGTTCGGAGTTACGTCTGTTTAAGCTTGACAGACTTTCGCCATGTCTCTGGCCGACCAGAGCCAGCAGTGGTTTCCTACGAGTATACAGGTAACGGTGCATCAGGCTCGGAACCTGCGCGTCAAGGGCAAGAATGGCACCAACGACGCCTATGCTATCATCCAGGTGGCCAAAGACAAATTCTCAACATCTGTGGCTGAGAAATGTGTCGCTCCGGTGTGGAAAGAAGAGGCTTCGTTTGACCTGGCG